GCATGAAAACCCGGCGTGGTTTCACTTTGCTAGCACAAGCAAATCCACTGATTGGACGGGTTCAATGAAATAATAAAAAAGAAAAAAAACACAAAAGCCTTTTTACTGTTTGCTGTGTTGTGCCATCAGAGGGATGCTCGCATGTTGTGAAGGAGGAAGGTGGAGGTATTCAGGGACAGGGAGGAGAGAGTTTGTCTGTCAGAGATGGTTAAAAGAACTGAAACCTTAAACACATGGGGCATTGCCACAGAGGGGGAAAGTGTATTATTACACAAGCATCTAAACTTCCCCAAACCTTGAATAAACTCTCCTTACTCACCCCTACCACGAAGCTGCTCCAAATGAGTGTTACCGAAATGTTTTTATTGGCTATAAAATGTCAACTGCTGCTCTCTTTGTTTTTATGTCCTGAGTTAGCATGTTGTTAAATTCGCAAAAGGAACATTTTGAGATTTCTGCCTCTGAATCATCTCCTTGCAAGACCATAACCTAATATGCTGTTTATTAACCTGCAGGAGACATCATTCTTTAATAAAAACCTAAGATAATTGTGTGTTGGTTTGTTATCTTTTATTTTAAAGGGTAAACTTAGATTCTGCTCTGTAACTTTACCATGCCAGCAGTAAAGTCGATTTCCTTGCAGACTGACTATAGTGAAGGAACACTAAGCGCTATGATGCTTAAATAAGTTGATATTAAAAGAGGACTAAATCTTCTCCATGAGGTGGTGGATCTGTATTCTGAGTTTAAGGCATGAGGCCTGGATTATTATTTTAGTCTAAAATCATCATCTTTTTCCAGAATGAAACAAAACATGTGAATATTATGTTTCTTATTGTGGGTAAGGGGGGGGGTAAGGTTTTGGCACTATCATTTTACATAAACTTAGGGTGTGTAGGGGATACAACAGCTCTCTGAAGTCTGCACATATATAGACCGAGACTTAGTCTACTGTTTTGAAGCCTCGAGTTTGTCATTGGCAACAACTTGTCAATCAGATGTAGCCACTCCCTTTAAAAACACCCTCCTTTAACGTAAGTTTTACTTTACATCAGACCTTCTTTGTCTAAATTGATATCATGCTGCGTTGATGGAGACTTATAAGTAGTTCAGTCAGACAATTTAAGTTTGTAATAGTTTAAACGTGTTTGGCGTCTACGCTCCGACCTCGTCACTCCTCGCAGAATTATGTTCCATGCAGATTTGAGGATTGATGAAATGGAATCGTAACCCCCCCCCCTGTTGGAGCCTTCAGGTGGACGTTAAAGCTGTTGCAGGGGCTGAAAGTTTAGGTGCATTATGGGACGGCATGAGACAGCAATGGCAAATGCAAAGCAGAGGGTGAGACCGGAAATCTTGCAGCTCAAATATAGCGCAAAATTGTGAGGATGCATTGATGGGTGATGAGAGAATGAAGACTTATGTGGAATAATTAATGAGTGCAGCAAGCTCTAGTTGTCTGCGTGAAAGAAGCTCGCAGGCGTCACTCCATTTATTGGGACTGTAACCCAAGCTGTTGCCCCCTGCTGGCCACTAGAAAGAATGCACTTTGAAGATACTTTGGCTTCACTTTTTTTAAACAAAGAGGCTGTCTAACTTCTTATATACCGTTTATGGGCATGGCCTGCTTCTTCCTGCAAAACCACACCAACACTGTTGAGTTTTTTTTTTTTATTGTGTCCTGAAATGTAAGTAGTTAAAGGAGTCTCTCCTGCTGCCCCCTCCGGCACTGTTGGGTCCTACTCTCTGAAATAATTGATTCTAATTCCTTTCCACTAGAGTGCACCCATCTGCTGGCTTTGGGGGACGGTAAAAATCCTCTATCAGTTACAATTATCCCACAGTTACCAGGAACTGCGCCGCAAGTGTGTGTGTGACCTACAACCCCGAGTTGAGAAGAGGCATGTGCGAAGATATGCGTGAATGTGTGTGTGTGCGGGTGCGTCAGTGAGAGAGAGAGCTCGTGAGGAATAGATATTCTCGGGGTGGAGTGCAGCGTAAGCGTGAGTTGAATCCCTGAAGCCCATCCTCCGGGATGTCGAATCCATGACAAATCATCCCGAGGGAATCAACACCAAGTCAGTGAGTCTGCGTGTGTGTGTGTGTGTGTGTGTGTGTGTGTGTGGGTGAATGTATGTTTAAAAAACGTGGCGCTTTGTGTATTATGTCTCATACCGTGAGTGTGTGTGTGTGTGTGTGTGTGTGTGTGTGTGTGTGTGTTTTCGCAGTCTCACGAGCCCCAAACACAAAAGCAGCAGAGGCACAAATTCAAACCCCACAATATGAATCATCCTCCTAATCTGCAGAAGTGGACTGCACCAATTCACCACTGGGGGGGGGCAGCAGTAAATCTTGGCAAACAGAGAGAAACAGGATGGCTACAGAGCAAATAAAAAATAAAAATCCAAGAACACTCCTACACAACCTTGTATTTTTTTTTCCTCCTTTTTGGAAGCTGAAAATGTCAAGTGCAAAAGTAAAAAAAATTACACACCAGGGCCGGATTTTTGGAATTCGCACATTCCCCCAGGACCCCTGAAGCTCTGAATCCTTGTAGATCTGTGATGATAGCTGCACACACAAACACAGACAAACACACACACACACACACACACACACACACACACACACACACTGCTGTCTGGTGTGTGTGTAGTCCTGAGTGACAGCATCTGTAGCTGTGGGATTTTGGTGGCCCCTTTAGCAGAAAGGGACACAGTGGCAGAGACATGCAAGGAGAGCAGAAGAAGGGACACTCTGACACTCTCCTGAGATAAACAAACTCCTCCTGTCTCCATTTCCCATCATGCTCCCTTTCTCAGCCAATCCCCATCTATTCTCCAACAACCCGTCTAGCTTCTATGACCGCTCAGTTTTGCTCCTTTTTTGTTTTTGAGAGTCTTCTTCCTTTATTATCCTCTTCATCCCGTCTGTGTTTTTTTTTTTTTCCTCTGTGGTGCTTTATGCAACATATACATGTGTTTTATTAACGTCTGCCTGTGTGTTTGATGTGTAAAGCCGCCCGTCATGGCAGGTTGTCTGAGACCCCGCACCGGTTGCAGCAAGCCGAGGAGATAAAGTGTGGGGCTGCATTTCCCGGCAGTGTTTGCAGATTTATCTCTCTGCTTACGGCTTTGATTTTACTGCCCCGTCCACTACAGCCTCCACTGGATCCCATCTCTTTTCTTTTTTACCCTCTCTCTCTCTCTCTCTCTCTCTGCTTCTATCTCCAACTCGCCATGAGGGACCAGCTTCCTCTCTGTGCACGTTCTCCCGACTATAAATCTCCCACGTTGCGCCATAAAGCTGCTCAGGGCATGACTCGACAAATATTAAGGAAGGAGGAGAATAAATAAATAAGTAAAGCTAAAATAAAAGAGAAAACTCTCGTCTGCAGGGAGAGACAACTTTTTTTTCCAGCGCACAAAATGGGGCCCCGGCTGTAAAATATTTACCTCAGTTTCTCTGTGCTTTAGATTCTTTGCCGGGGAATTCTGTGGGGGGCCGGGCTGCACGGCATCACACACACTTTTTTTTTTCTGACTATAGTTCTTTGCTCATGACTCTCTTTTTTTTTTTTGTCCATGTTGCAGCCCATTAGAAGGGGAAATCCTCTGGTTTTACACAACAAGCTCAGTTTTCTTGTCACAGGGAGTACCAATTAGCTGGCTTTATAATGTCACATATCTCAGGCGGGAGTTTGGTTGAGTCTGATAAAATAACCCCGCTGATTTCTCTGCTCAGGCTTGGAGACAAATGGAGTTTGGAAACATGCTCTTTTTTTTAACCAGGCATGGAAGGTTTAATAGACACTAATGAATTGCATTCATAAAATGTAGGAAGCTTTTAGAGCTTGACTAAATGGGACAAAAAAAAAATCAGGACATTTTGACCCCTCTGAGACCGATTTTTAGGCGACTCTTCTTCCAAAACTATCTCCTCCTCGTCCCTCAGTTTGAAAGGAGCGCAGCACTAAATCACTTAGCGCACCACCAACCCTTCAAGACACTCCACCAAAAAACCACTTTGTCACACAGCACGAGAACGAACTGACACCGACGTTTTAAGTAATTGCGAGAAAAGTTTCAAAGGTACGAGAAAAACCCTTCCCTTAATCGAGATAAAGACAAACGACACAAACAAGCTAAAGGGGGCCCCTCGCAATTGTGCAACCTGTTCATGCGTCGGGCGTGAGCTCGCCGACACCGGGAGGCCGTGCTTGTCAGTTTATCAACGGCAGCAATTTTTCACTCTCGATCAGCCAAGCGTGGCGGCATTTTCAATGAACTACCTGGATTCAAACGGCATCAGACAGGAGACAAAAGGTAACCTCTCCCGCTGCAGCCTCTTTGTCCTTCTCTATCTCTCTCTCTCTCTCTCTCTCTCTCTCTCTCTCTCTCTCTCTCTCTCTCTCTCTGTCTGTCTGTCACATTCTCGTCCAATCCCCCAGACCTCTCAGTCCTGTCCGATCGGCTTCACCATGACGGACACATAAGCCCATTCATGGAGTGGCAAGCACCATGTGGATGTCCGCCTGTGCCCAGAAATCAAGCAATATGCTGTCACAGAGAGAAAACAAACAGAAGCACACACACACACACACACACACACACACATGGTAGAGCCCGCCGTGACCCCCACGTCAAAGAAGACAAACAACGGCGAGTGCGAGCAGCCGCCTGTCCATGTGGCGAGCCAGCGTATGGAAAACCCTGGCACCATATGGGCTCGTCATTGTTGACAAAACAGCCTCGGGGACGTTCGGGCAGCCACCATTTGCATTTATGGAGAACACTTTTACCAATTGTTGTTTTTTTCGGCTTTTCGCACACTCCTCCAAAAAAAAAAAAAAATCAAAGTGCCATCATCAATCTGTGTTGGGCGGCCCCCGGAGGTGTGTTGGAGAGGATTTGTAAAGTCATCCATTTGCTGTCATATTTGGGAAAAATGACAAGAGATAGTAGTGAGTACAGCTGGAGGAAATCCCATGATGCTCTTACCTAGCTGCAGCTCCATGTTGCTGATCTTGTTTTCCGAGGGAAACAGGATCTTTGGCGGCTTGTCGGTCAAAGGAGCTGGAAGAAGGAAGAAAGAAAAAGAGGAGATTTGAATACAAGACGCTTCAAAGTCTCTCTTTAAAGAAGAAAAGCGAGGTATGCATTTCAGCTATTTTTAGCGCGCTCCCAACGTGCTTCTTGCACTTTGTTCACAGTTTTATTCCTTCCCGTTGAAGGCATTTGTTAGCTCTTTGAACACCAAGCACAGGCAGACGTTATCTGCCGACTGTATCTCCTCTTCAAGGCGAACAAATGCCCCCCCCCCCCCCGTCTGTCTGTCCTCTTGCTCTGCTAACTTGCTCTTTGTCTCTTTGCAGACATATTGCTCTCTAGTGCCTATAGACCTTGAGTTCTATTCATCTGACCCACTTTTCATCATAAATTAATCACCTCTTTGCCAAAAACATGGCACCATTTAATCTGCACGAGTGTTGGGTGTATTTGAAGAGCCATCGTGGAGTGTGTGTAAGTGTGTGTGTGTGTGTGAGAGAGAGAGAGAGAGAGAGAGAGGGAGCAGCTGATGCTCTAATGATGCTAATCATCCATACGGCGGATGTCAGACCTGCTGCTTGAGTCCTCCCTCTGGGGAACGCCTGAACATGAAGCCTTTTTATTGTTGTTAAAAGCGTTTGTGTGTTTGGAGAGAAAGGCTGTTGCACTTTATGGGTGGAGGGGTTAGAGGAACAGGGAGAGGGTCTTGTAAGGGGAGAGAAATGGAGGTGCAACGTGTTAGATGTCTCGATCATGAGGTACTTTGTCACCCTACTCAGAAAACACTTAAAAAACCTTTGCAATTCTTTTTTTAAAACATCACCTCATCCAGCTTGTGGATAGAAATTCTGACATTGGAGCTCTCTGTGGCTCGGATGAATCGTGCAGGGCGACTACTTTAGAAAATAGAACACAGGCCTTTAACTCGGTCAGATCTGTACTATATGATATTGTTATTGGTTTGATTGTTTGCTTGTTGAAAACTCCAGGTTTGCAGGGTGTTGCTGTCATCCTCTTCTTTTTTTAATTGATTTTTTATTTTGCATTGTTATTATGACAATGAAATGGATGTATGAATTACTACCAAATGATGATTTGGTAGTAATTGGATGATATACACCTGCAAAGGCTGTCAAAATAAATAAAAAGTTGGTCAAAAAAATAAAACAATCACCTCATCCCAGTCCAGAACAATTTCAAAACACGTCAAAGATATGTGAAGTCATGGCTCATAAGCAGAGTAATCTTAGCTCTTTGAAATATTGGCAATAGCAGAGGCATTTTTGACATTTTTCACAAAAGTGACGACTCATTGAGATGAAGTATTTCCGTTTTAAAGGGAGTTCTTAAAGTTATGAATCCATTGGAGTGAGGACAAAATGCATCAAAGCACAGTTGGGATGATTCAGTACGATGAAGAAAACAGTTCATGGCTTATTTTCTTCCTTTAAGATCAGAGGTGAAATCAAAAACTTCAACAAACTCATGTTTCCATTTTTCTCCTTCTCTTCATGCTGGTTAAGCTTTTTAAGGATGTAATTGTTTTGCATTTTGATAATTGTTTGTAGATGCAGCAGGGCAAGAGTCACTTTATCCTGGTGCTGCTAAAACCCCAGACTAAGGCTTTGTTTGCAACAGAGCTTTCTCAAATACACCTCATAGACTTTATATAAAAGCCTCTTGTTTCTCAGTGACGCCATTTCTATAGGGACTTAAACCTGCATTATTCAAGTGGCCAGCCGGGAGCGCCTCCAATGGAATTCCTACTTTTATTAACATCTTGCTTATGGATTTCTTGTCACAACTGTTTCTTCAAATCTTCTGTAATGCATTATTTTTTTTACATTTTTTTTTTGCAAATGATGGTCCCATTTAGATTAATATTGACAGTGATTCAGTCCCTTCCATGAGAGCCTGCCAACTAAGGCTTCAAAAAGGGGGATTTCTCAAACCGACAGGTCCAGGTTTTCCTATTTAATCTGTGTAAAAATGATTCTGAATCTGCAAATACCTGTTGGCTGCTCACCAAAAGATTTTAAAGACGGTGGCAAATAAAGAAAAGCTGCTGAAGGAGACAGAAAAAAAAAGATCGAAATGTTGATCCTGACTTAAAAACATTGTCTCGCAGCGAATCATGCACACATTGTTTCTCTGCTTCTCTACTGATTTTAACACGCGGTTTGAGTTGGGTTAATCAGTGATCCATTCAAACTTTTAGCACATTTTTCTTTTTTTTGGTTGCTCTTGCATTTCATCATGACACAAAATTGGGGGCACGTTAAGCTCAATGTAACCCACCTTCCTCTCCTGGCAAACATGACATGTTTGATAAGATTTCAAGAGCAGACCTCCACCCTCTCTCTATAATACCACATAGTGCTCATATAACGGCTTAAGCTGAAGATGGAGTTTGTTGCAATATAGTTAGTTTATAAATAGCACGTTGGGTCATCTCTGCGTACAGCGACCAAACTGATTTATTTATGTTGATAACTCTAGGCAATTTATTTTTTCAGTTGCTCGGATAAGAAGGGTGTAGCCTTTAGCCAGAGCAAACTACACAGAGATGCAACAAGAAAACCAGCACACATGCTGCTTTAAATCAAAAACACTAAGGTGCTAAACACTAATTCTGCACTTCCAAGAGCAGCTATAATGAGAGAAACCCTTTATTGAATAAAACAGAGGGTACTCCTAACAGCAAACCTTTCAGGCATGACTAATTATCTTGTGGTGAATTTGCAATGGGGGGGGGGGGTTCAGGCCAGTTCATAGTCTGGTGCTTTCATTAAGATGTTTCCTTAGAGTCCTCACTAGCCCTCTTCTTAAGCCTTATTATAAGAGTGCACTAACAAGCGCTTTGAGAGCCCTCAACTATTTTGGAGTCTTCATCGGAGAGGAAGAAGCTGTGAAAAGTTGCCGAGTTGACTATCTCGGCAAAGTGCGCAGTCTTGGTCTAAAATAAAGACAAGCGCACATTAAAATAATTTCATCATGTTTACAGTTTTAGATGTCATGCACACTATTATTACTCTCAACATCATGAGCTATATCGTGTGATTTATTGTCAATGCAGAATAACGTATACGCTTATTAATACCCTGTGCAATGAAACTTATTCTTGGACAATCATCTGTTGAATGTCTGTTCATCTGACTTCAGTCTTTTTATTTGTATTTCAGTCTAATTTAACTTGAACATTAATTCTTAACAATGCAACTTGTTCCAAATGAATTGAGCAACCCCCTTCAGCAGTTAACAATAAAAAAAAGCATATCTAAAATATCATATTAAAAATATCAATACATGGCCGCCATGAGACGATATAATATCGCCACACATGACAAAAACTAATTTTACTGCCTTTTGCCTTTGTAGGGCAGAATACTGTGTGTAGTATAGTATATAGTAATACTGTATCAATTTTTTACCTCACCTCTACCATTTACCGTTCATTCTTAGCTGTATTATGATTTTTATATATTTGGAATTTAAGTTCAATATCAGGTGCAGTATTACTTCACAGTATTCTGCCCTGTTTTTTTTTTTAGAAGTATTATTGTACAGGCAATGCAAAGGCAGAGTACCTTAACTTCCAAATAAGGGTCAAAGGTCATGTTTGAGTTAAAGACTTTTATGAACATTAATAACCTCATTAAAAAGATAAAGAATTGCCACATTTCCAATATTCTGCCTGCAAATCATTTGGCTGGGCAACAAAAAGACTTTAAAGTCATTTTTCTCAGTTCTACACTCTGGCGAGTTAAGGTCTTTCGCCTTTGTAGGGCAGTATTGGTCTATATTGTTTTTATCCGCAGGTGCAATCTTTTAAAAAATAATGGGCTTTATTATGTTCATTGTTATGTGTGTAATTAGACATATCGTGTTCATTATCATGTTCAAAATTACTTTTCATTCATTTAACTTAATCATACGTTCACCATCGTATAGGCCATAAACAGGGCAACATGATTTCATATCAACTCCCCAGTACAGTACTGTCACTGTAATTAACACTTTCCTAATGAGCTTTAACCCTCGTAGCTACACTTCATATTTTTGATTCACATCTTTTTTTTTTTTTTTAATTTGTATTTAATGTCCTGCTGCATTCCTTTATTTTTTGAGTAATTTTAAAGTAATATGGCACTCGGATTTCCTCATGGATTAATCAAGTTCTATCTTAGCGTATCATGTACTCAACATTTACTCATGCTGTCAGAAAGAAGTGTTGATGAGAGTGGATGTAGGAGAAGTGTTTATTATGCGTCTATGTAGCACCTGCTGGTATGTAAATGGCGACAGAGACGAGGTGACATCTATGAGAGGGGCGGTCACGGGCTTTTAGGCACAACTGTTTGCACTGTTAATAGGTAATCACATCGCACAAATTACACTGGATACTGATACAATTTTAATTACATATCAAACTGCTATACATAATTACACAATGGGTGATCCTATAGCCAATTATGCAGTGGGCAAACAAATGAGGACAAGCTGTGTATGGGAGGGGGGGAGAGAGAGAGAAAGCAGATGTTGAGGGGAGAACTCAAAGATAGGAGGAGAAGAAAAAGTAAGAGCCGGCGAAATGAAGAGAACAAAAGTGGAGCATTTATAAAAGCTGAAGTGAAGCAGTCAAGAAACATGCTCCCCCCCCCCTCGTTTTGGCATGCTACACTTGCCTGTGAAAATCTCATTATCTTAATTACCATTCCTTTATGGGAAATACATCAATTACCACGGTTCAGGAGGGGGACACCATTTATAAAATGTTGAGGATTGGTTGCAGCTCCTCACAAAGGAGCGAGTCTGACGGCCATTACCATGCAAAGTGTAGAATTAAACAAGCATGGACGCAAGCAGGTGCAAATATATCCAATGAGCTGTTGACTTAAGGAAAGGTTGTGAAAAATAATGTGATGTTTTTCTGTCATATCTACAAGACCGTTGATGATTATGTGATATATACTCAAGGTTGGAATCAGGTTTCCTCTTAATCTCTGTATTCAAAGGACATGTGACGA